TGGCGGGGCACTGCGGGCACCCTTGGGGTGCGGGCCGGGGGCGCTCCGCGGTACGGGCTAGCGGCATAACTTCAAGGGCCATAAAACTACCGAGTGCTGGGCATTTCATGAGCAATCTTGCGTTCTGGAGCGTCTCAGACGCGTGAAACTTGATTTTAGTTTCAGAGGAGTTTTTTTTTTTTTCTCCTTCTTTCTTGCGTTTTAGGATCCTGAAGGTAGCGTTTCTGAGCCCAGGGAATGGAGACCGCTCATTTATAGGAAGTGCACAGACGTTCTCTGGTTGCTCCTCTTCTTTATTTTCTGGGCTGGCTTGGTAAGCGTGCTTTCCCTTGAAAGAGAAATCAGATTCAGAGTTAAGGGGCTCTGCGCTACAGTATATGAAGTCTAAGATGAAATAAATATGGGCATAGACATTAGGGTCCCAGGATTGCACTGGGACAGACTGAAAGAACTTGTGCAGTGCTCTGCTGTAGCGTGTGTTACGCTTCAAATTCTGCCCCTGTGTTTCAGATTCCGTGTATATACAGGACTAGAGTTTACTTTTGGAGTTTACTTTTCTACAAAGAAATTAATCTGCCAATGTGTGCTTGCCCTTACACTGTACTACCAGCTCTCTCCCCCTTGTCCACTCAGGGTTCTCCCTTCAGCCCTTTCCCACCATCATATCCTTAGTTTTCACCCTGAGTAATTTTACTGCTAGCAAATGTTCTTTTATTTTTAGTTCCATAATCAGGTACTCTTCTTTCCGTGAGTTGCCTGCCTTATTCCGTGAGTGGGTGATTATTTAGTGTTACTTTTTGTCCTCCTCAGTCATTATGTGTCCCAAGGCTTTGTTTTACAGACGCGGTCTGAACTCTTTATCAAATACAGGATGATTAATTTTTTTACTGGGTATTCTAAATATGGTATAATGCTTAGTTTTTAAACTTTCTACGTGTGCATGTAGACGTCTAAAGAAACAGCAGCCTCACAGAGACCTAGAAAGGATTTGTACGTGTAGCCCCTTTAAGTGCCTACCTCTAACGTGTTAGGTTCCCAGACCTCCCAGGATGCAGGAGAATACCAAAGTAAAGGCACTAAAACTTAACTAATAAAGCAGTTGTGCTGGGTCTGGTGTATGCAGTCTCTCTCCAGCGCTTCTGATATTAAGTTTGCCATGCAAAGCAGTAGTGGTTCAAGTGGGATTGGGGGAGACTTGCTGTTGCCAGCAGTTGGTATGTAGCCGAGAGCCTAGCATATTGTCTTTGTATATGTGAAGTGTGGTTCACGCTCCATGGAAGAGAGGAGGAGATGGTTGAATCACCAAGTTCTTTGATAGCTGGAGAGCTATGAATAAAGTGTTAGGTAAAGTAGTGCTCAGGGCTTCAAAAAGAATTACTGCTTCTTGCCACTGGGAAAGGTTCTTTCCTCTAGAGGCTTTTTGGCCCATCGTGGTACACAGGAGCAGGATTTAAGCTGCACTCCTGGATCAAGTGTCTTGTGTTGACTAAGAGGTGTCACCTACTCAGTGAGCAGAGGTGCTTCGTGGCCCCTGAGACTTACTGAGACCTGACCTTCAGTGGTGGCAGTTTCATAAGGCAGCAGAGTGTCTGAAAGCTCAGTGCAGTGACACCTAAATCCACACTGTGGTTCTCTCTCCAGGCTTTTCACACATGTGAAAGGGTGCATCTTCCTGAAGTTTGAGATAACTTACATTTTAACTGTACTTTACGTGTTTAAAATATACCTCTTATTAAATTCAGTAACACCTGCAAGGACTCAACATTTCTGCAGGTGTGTTGGCTAAGTGTGTCATGAAGGGCACCCTGAAAAATGAGGAGCAGGCAGTTAGCGGCCAGATGTGAAAACCTGTGGGTTGAGTAACCTTGCCTATCGACACACAGAAACTGTGGTAGAAGCTGTTTGGCACCGTACTGTTTCTTTCCAGTTGTTTTAATCACGAGTTCTATCTTTCTTCTGCTGTGGTACTCTTAATTAATTATATGCTTTCCAGTTTCTGCAGTAAATAAGAACAAACGCTAAAGAGACAATAGGGCTTAACTAGTCCATATTACTTGCTCTGGCCTTGTGCACAGGGGTGAATTTTAGATTTAACTGTTTGCTTTCACACAACAAAAATACATGAGTTAAAAGGGAAATTTATGGAACGGGAGGGAAAAGCTGTGGTAGCATGATTTCACAAGAAAAATGTTTTAATAGATGTTTATAACTGGCTATGCTGTGATGGCTGGTGCTGCAGAAAGACTTGTGCTTGGATATGACAGCTTCGGGAACATATGTGGTAGGAAGAACTCTCCTGTAAAAGGGGCACCCCTTTCTGGACAGGACATGACTAACAAAAAGTAAGTAAATCAGATAATGCCTAAATAAAACAAATGTTTGCAATCTGAGCATAACTTCATAGGATATACATCTTCTAGCTGTCAGTTGTATACATACATGCATATACATGCTTATATTAAAAGATGTAAATAAGAAGGTGTGAGAATGCTGCAAAATAGAGAGCGAAACTAACAGTTAAGATGGAATTTGACAATGTGCTACATTTTTATCCTTTATTCTGGCTTCTTCTTAAATAGGGATGCAAATAGGATTTTTGCCAAAACAGCGGTCATTCGGTGTGCACAAACCTTTGTATTTACAGAAGTTTCATGTTGATGTTCCCAGTCATCCTGTCAAATTCCTAGGCATCAGAACTAGCCCCCTTAGAATGGGATTCCCCCTTGACAGGGGGATGCCATTTTAATTCCATGTAAGAATTTAAAGTAAAATGTGAAAATGTAGCATATTCCCAAATTATTTCTTAACTTTTAGCTTCAAACTCTTTATTTCATTTATGTGGAAAAACACAATTTCATTTGCATTATAATGCTTCAAAAAGATGAAAAGGCTCGGAATTTAAACCTATGAACATCAGAAAGCTTGTTTTTTGAATATATGTTTTTTTTTCTTTCTAGGTATGTATTCTTTCTGAATTCATGCAGGCTGGAAATGCAAAGCCTCAAAATCAGTTCAGTTTCCTTGTGCGTGTCTAGTTGTCCACAAGAGCAACTCAACTCTTTGGAAGACATCCAGAGTTTTGCAAGGAACAATGGTATGCAACAGATCATGAATATCTTAATGTATCTGTAGAACAGCTGAGCGACTTTCACTGTATTACTGGTACGCGTGCTACGCTGGGGAGTCATTTCTTACCATTAATTTCCTGAGCAGTCTATAGTGACAGGAAATATAACTTGTTTGTGACCTATTTCAAAGCCACAGTTTTCAGAAATCTTACAGCTCTCTTATGTCAATTCTAAAGTTGTTGATTCATTCCTGCCCAGTGCTGAGATTATCCAGCTGAAAACTGGCTGCTGAGAATGAGCTGGTGTAATTTGTTGGGGGTGCCGGTAGGTGGATACAGCTCATATGCTATTTGAGAAACTTGTCCAACTGGTTCTTTTAAATTGACTTAAAGCTGTGGTGGAATTATTAATTCCAGAGATATACAAAAGTTGTTATCCCTTTAGAAATCATAGCCCCAAGTTTTCCATTGAATATTTTTTTATTTTATTCTGCTGTTCAAGATTAACATGATGTCAGAAGTAGCTATTGTGCAAAAGGGGCAGCTCCAGTTCATTCATTTCCAGCATAAAAATAAACTGTGGCCTGACCTTAATCTGTGGGGCATGCATAAACTGCAGACCACACGAATATTAGCTATGTGTATTGGAGGTCCGAATTCCATTCCTTTTGGTTTTCTTGTTTTGTTTGGCAAGATTTGCTATTTAAAATGACAACATTTGTTTTAATCTCATTTTGGAATATTTTGTCATCTTCTGGTATGTACAGAAAGCTGTAAACCTATGATATTACATAAGTAATTTCAGTGTAACTGACTGAAATTACATGAAATTCCATCCACACGCTAAAAACGCTTACGTGTGTATCTTGAGGGAGATGGCAATGTTGCATTCTGAGTGGCTTGAATGCATCCAAACATTCCTTTCTCAGAAGCATTATATAGTGAGGCGGAGCATTATTAGGCACCTGGCAGTACTTAGCTCAGAAAATGTTTAGCTTCTGGATAGAACCAAATTCTGTCCTGTAACATGAAGGGCCTAATTCTGTTGTAGCTTCTGTCATTAAAGGCTTTTCCATTGCCTTACCTGTAACAGTTTAGACCTCAAGTATCGCACTGTGGAACAAATAGTGTGCTTGCTGTCATTAGATGACAATAGATTCCTCAGCGGTTGTTTTAGATTTACCCATGAATTAATTTGTTATTTACACTCCCACTAGAATATCACTAATGGGTACGGCCTGCTAAGGGATCAAAACAGAAGTGTAACCAAAACTTACTTGAAAATGAGCTTTTCCCCAAAATAGACTTTAACTAGTATTAAATTACCATTGGATTTTGTTTTTTTAATTTCTTAAGGTTCTCATCTCTGTGTTTACAACTTGAATGTTTCCAGTTACATACTAAATCCAAAGGCAGCTGACCTGTGTCCCACACTGCCAGTTCCACCAAGGTAGGTATTACTGGGTACTTTAACACTCCCTCGAGTCCAAACAGCTTCTTAAGAATTACTACTTCCTCATGTTTTCTATTTGGTGTGATGCTTCACAATCCAAATGGTTTTACTTTATTTATTTATTTTTGCACATATATCGTTATGCGTTCTTGTGTGCGTGCATGTGAACACTCTGTTTCCTGTCCCATAGAATGAACGAGAACTCTATTCCTCCACCCTTTAGAGATTTTCTCCACCAGGTCAGAGACAAAGCCCTTATTTTGCACTTCACATGAGCAGTAGCTTATCTACCTGCAAGGCCTTTTGCACAGACTTTTGCTCACTGCCTCAAGGCCAAGGAAAAGGTGCTGTGCTGTCGGCAGGCCTTGCATATTATCCTGAGCCCAGAAATTTTCTGTAAGTCAGTTCACACCCACCTGGCTTGAAGTGTGTGTCTTTGAAAGGCGCTGGGCAGATGGACTGTCTTTAGCATTTGACAGCCCATCGAGTCTGGATATTGGTTTAGTTGGATTTCTTTCTTGACGACAAATTGGTGAGTCAAAATCCTTAAGCCCCAGGTTAGTTTGAAATTCTACCATTTCATGAAAATGTAGCGAATTGGAATCTCCATGCTTGCAGAGCTAAGCCATCTACTGCTCTGAACAATAGAAAATGGAGGAAAAAAAAAAAAAAAGAAAAGAGAGCAGGAGACGCATCAAAGCATTATTTAAAGTAAATCAGAGGAGGGCATGTAAATTGATGAAAAGATAAGGCATGTTTTACTTCTTTCTTTGACTTGTTATGCTTTTTTCCATTTGGTAAAAAAACTCACCAGTCATTTATGTTAGCTAGTAACATTTCTGAGTAGAAGTAAAGCTGGGCAGAGCGATTTTAATGTGCTAATGAACTGACCTCTCCTTTTCAGGTATGAATATGTATTCTATAGATGCAGTGCAGTGTTACCAAAGAGTGGCAATAAATATGTTCAAGAAACTTGGTTGGGAGTGCCAAATAACTTTATATGTAAATCTTGATGGGGTTAATTGCACCTTACAAACATTATTTTGGTGCAGCCTTTAGTATGCTTAAATATCCCAAAAAACTGCAAAGTTTTTGTGGTCTAGAATTATCTACCACAACATAGCTTACAGCCATTCTAGCATGAGTTTAGCTTTTACATAAACACATGGGAGCAAAGCAGGTGAAGCTAACTAGTTAATTGCATAGGAGCTACATGCTGATGGAGATTGAGATAGCAGTTCACTTCTTTCCCCGGGTTGGCCTTGAATGGATCTGGCACTATGGCACAGGCATAATGCTGCCAGGAGTTTGTTTTTCAGATGCAACGTAAAACTACCATCTGACCATTTGTAACAGACTGCTCTGGACCTGTTGTGTCAGACTCTGTGTATAAGGTCCCCTCCTAGGTAGGGAGGGTGCCTCTGAGGTTATGGGTCACACTGGTCGGCTGGCACTGCAAAACTGTGTTGAGGATGCTGGCAGGGTACTGCAGAGGGCTTCAACTAGAGCAGTGGAATTGGTCTCTCTGGGTTAGCCACCGTATGTCCAGTAATGAGCGTTTTTCATCATCTTTGTTTTTAACCTTCCAGTAAATCTTTTCCATTGTTTAATCGGTGTGTTCCACAAAATCCTGAATGCTATTCCAAGTATGCGTCTGTCTTAATAAATATGATTAATGAAATGGATGCTCTTCACCGTGCTCTTGGTGGAATATTGGCAGGAAGAGATACTGTAATAGGACTGAGTGTCCTTGCACTAGGTAAGGTTATAAATAAAAAATGAATACTAATGTGTGATTAAAATATGAAGTTTCAAATGTTTCTATCAACTTTATATTTTTCATTTAAAAGTACTGATGTTTTTCATACTTTCTGAGCAGAGTTTTTTTTTTTTAAAGTAATGTTTATTATAAGAAGACATTTAATAGATGTTAGACTTTGCATTCTTAGATATGATCCGTCATTTACCTCTTTTCAGGGGACTGTTAGAAACTGTTGATTTAAAAAAATAATAGCATCAGCAGTAACATTTTGATTTTAACTTAAATCTTATTCAAAAATATTATTGAAAACCTAATGATTCCCAAGCTGAAGTTTTTAGTAGTCATTTATTAGTTCATTATTAGTAAGTTACAGATAACTATGTTTTAGATATTAAAAAGGTTACCACCTTTACTAAATGTTGCTGCTTTTGAGATTACTATTTAAAAGTAAAAAACAAATTCTTCAAGAATCTAAAATTTATCTTTAAAGTAAACAATAGTTAAATTAAACAGATTGTAACACTCATAATAACCTTACTTTGTATATTTTCAGCCTTCTCTTTTATACTGGTTTTAACCTTCAGATTCATTCAAACACTTCTGGTCCATACTTTGATTGCACTGGTTGTGTTTGGTTTGCTATGTAAGTATATTTAGCTTTTAGCGTGTGCTTGGTTAAACGGATCATTTTGCTGAACTTAAGGAAAGGCAGTTGAACAAACAGCAAACCTGTTTCTCCACAGCCATCCTCAGTAAGCTTAAGCTTAACACAGCCATTTCCAAGCAGAACCTTTCCTCCCTTTGGGTGCCAAAGTCTGTCTGTGGTGTTCCAGCTGCAGAGTGTTGGGATGATGATCAGTTTTAATTATTTATAGATGCTAAGAAGTTATGTTTCTTTTGGCAGATGAAAACAGATATGAAAATGCTGCCTTTTCAAAGAAAGTTTAACAAAGTTTAACATTGCCTATTTTATAAAGAGAGAACTATAAGGATGTATCTAGCTAAAGTCTGACATTCCTTAAAAGTAGTATTTCTTACCTCCTGAATAAAAGTACATAGCTGAGCTTTAGGAAAACAGCAAGAAAACTAAACTCTCTGCTGCTTTTTTACTTCAGACTAACAGACCACCATGTAAATTTTTTTTATGATCATTGATACTGTAGCTCCCTGTTAGACTACAGTATTCCTCAGTTGAACTCGAGTTAGGAAGAAGGGTGGCAGAATCGTGAGATGTCAAGTAGACATGAACCTGCCAACAATATAGAGTGTACCACAACCTGTGCAGTACTGCTGGCCTTCATGCCCATCTGTGTTTGCTGCAGTTGTCTCAGGTGTTCTTTGGTGGCTCTATTATGACTACAGGAATGACCCCAGCACTGAATTGGAAACCGAAAAGGAAAATATAAAATTTGTACTTGGATATGCTATCTTCTCTACAATAGTTACAGTAAGTAGCATTTTACCATAAGCAATGACAGATAGAGGCCTTAACTTAAAAAACTGAACTATAGTGGTTATGCAGCAATTAAAATACTTCTGTTTCCTCATTGCTTTCAAATTTGAACTGATGAATGAATAAAAAGATCTGCTTATATGCATTTAAATAGCTTTGTATCTTCATCATGAAATTCATGTGTCAGGACAGGGCTTTCTGCCACGTTGAAACCCTGTACAAACACTATTAGTGCTGGTATTGCAGAAATGCAGGAATTAAATTCCATTCCCATTCTCTGCATCAGCTAACTGGAAAATCATGTTGCGTGAACAGAGAGGCACTGGCTGCATATGAATGTGAGATCTATGGTTGGGAGTGGGGTGAAGCTCATTGTTTAGGCCTCAAGTTACAGGGGTAAGTTCTGCTTTTCTTTCGTTGACCTCTTGTTTCTCAACAGAAAACCTGACTGTGGCTTACCACTTTTAAAGTGAATTTTTTCACTCTGATGTTGCAGGGTTAAAGGAGTCATTGCTTAATACAGGTGTGCAAAAAATGTGTCAGTTGGCCGTGAATTGTCAAAATCATGTCATTGCTGTTTTAAGGAAACAGCATAGGATAGGATTCACCAAATATGGACAGTCTGACAATTTACAGTCACAGATTCAAATGTGTTACACATCAGATTTTTTTTTCTTATATCCTGGTAAGTTATGAACAATGACCTTTTTATTTCTGTGGATAATAAAAGCATAAGAATAAGTTCATTTGTAAGCATGTTTATTCCAATACCTTTCACTGCCGTTTGTAGAGCTCTGGAAGCATCTACTGCTGCAGGTTGCTCTTCTCTTTAGAACAAATGGCTCCTTTGTAGAGCAGGCAAGAAAAGTGGAGGAACAGCTGCCGCTGGTTTTATATATTGTTTTATAAATTCCAGCCTCTCTTTTAAATGCTGTTCATAGTTCTTTGTAAGTGATAAAGGACCTGGGACCTTGTGGGGGTTTTGCCTTTGCTTTTTTTTTTTTTTTCCTTTGAGAAGAAAATAATTTCTTTAAATGAGGTTTCATTTTATGTATGCTTTGTCTCCACACATACACAACTGTCCAATCAGTTTATTTTTCCTACTGTCCTTTCTGCAGAAAAAGGACTGGTCCTCCTCCCATTGTGAACAATATAGGAAGGAAGTTTAAATGGTCAAAACATACAGGGTGTATGAAAGCAGTGTGTAACCTATAACATACATTTGTATTCGTTGCATTAAAGCAAAAGGACTGTTTGTGTTGGGTGAATTACAGTTTTGTGAATCCTATTTTGTTTTAAAGAAACAGTAGTAACGTGATTTCATAAAAGGGGATTTTAAGCCACAAGCTCTTTGAGAAAGTAGACAATGTCTCAGAAAGCATTTCTAGTGCATAATAAGTTTACATAAAGTGCCTTGCTGTCGTGTCTTTGTGAAATCCATATCCCCTGACCCCACATTTGACAACTTGGATACTTTTTTAAGAAAAAAAAACTAATTGTTTTTTTTCTTTCCTGTAACAGATTGTTCTGCTTTCCCTCATACTTGCACTAAGAAAGAGGCTTCAATTCACAGTACAGCTCTTCCAGATTGTTAACAAAATAATTAGAAGAATCCCTTTCCTGCTGTTCCAACCACTTTGGAGTTTTCTGATTCTCGTCGTCTTCTGGGTATTTTGGGTTGCTGTGCTACTCAGCTTAGGAACTGCAGGTAAATATATGCTTTCCATGGTTTGGAATGAATGCCACCTGTTTCCTGAGTTAGCTTCTGAAATACAGTACCTTATGGTGTTAGCGTGCAAAACATGGGCTAGCACTGTTGCAGAGCTGTGTTACTCTTCCTTTACACTTGTTGGCGTCTTCAGCGTTGCCATAGTTCTGTGAGCCATAGCACTACTGAGGAGATATTTTTGCTCCCATATATGCGGGCTTTACTTCTATTCTTTCTCATTTATTTAGTTTATGATCAGGTTATGGAAGATACAGTACATTTGAGGTATTTAAATGCAGAAAGTAACAGGAGGGGGGAGACAGCCTTTAGTGCAGTTGTTATGAAATGAGAACATTAATCTCCCATGAGATAAACAATGTCCAGTTGTCTTGGAGACAGCATGTTGTTTCTGAGCAATGGTTTGGTGAAAACTACTGTACTTACTTAGCTTGGTATACTAGTACTTGAATTACTCCAGGGGTCCTTACCGCTGAAGGTAAGGTAATAAAGAGGTTTATTGTAAAGATAGAGAATCGTAATATGAAAGAACAGATTTTGAGTATGGAATTAGTATTACTGAGGGACATATCATTTTCATAAGATTTGTCATTCACCGAACTAGGAATGATTTGGCATGCTGGCCTTTGGCACATCGTCGGGACACTCAAGGGAGAGGGAGGTTATCCTTATGAGGAACATCACCAAAAGAAAGGAAGCTAAAGTGGGTATGTGTGGGGATAGTATGGGGATAACTTCCCAGCAGACATTAACCTTTGCACACGAGGAAGCATTATGATTTGGGGGTTTGTGCATTTTAAATTTCTTGTTCCACTGCTATGAGTTGTCCTATGGGTTGGAGTAGATGCTGAATTCACAGAAGAGAGAGAGTTGTTTGTCATGGAAGCTTTATTTATTCTCATTCCTGTTTATTTTTTCTGAAACTCTATAGTGCTTTTGTTTAGAAAACCAGACACAGCCAAGCCCTGCTAATGCTTATGTACTGTCATTTTGTCATGCCCTTCCTCCACCCCTTTGGCTGCGGTAACTCCTCTCTACAGGCGTACAGATCCCTGCTAGGCCAGAAGAGCCTTCATCTTCTCTGTAGCTGAGCCCATTTGAGAAAACTGTCAGTGTTCCCCGCCTCTGTGGGTCAAGCACCTCACCCCCATCCCTTGAGTACTGCTACTGTCTCAGCCTTGTTCTGTTACCTCTGGCTCTGTACAGATCCCACTTCACTTAGGTCTGAGTCTCCATGCTGGTATTCTGAGTCAGTCACCCATTGCTTAGGCTAGGAAAGGTTTGTTTCTCTCCAGCTTTGGCTGGAGAGTCATGCAGGTTTGCAGAGGTCTTGCTGTTTCTGCCACTGTTTGTCCAGTAGCTGATGGCTGTCAGAAATGCTCGCTTGAAGCGCTTGCCTGGCTGATAATCTGCTTCTCCTGCAAAACTGTCAGACCCAGAGAAGCCAGGTGTTGTTCAACCTGCAGTCTCTTCTTGAGTTGTTCCTGGCTGAATAAATAGTCACCACTTTGCTTTAAGGATGTCATGGATATTTCTTCTCCATGCTCCTCTGAGTTAGATTTTTCCTTTGCAGAGACAGTATTACGTGCCAGATACAGCTTTACGCGGCTGTTAGCTTTTCCACAAAACCTTCATGCCATTTCTGTGCATATCAACCAGACAAGCAGTACTTTTCAAACTGACTTGGTGGGCTATCTCATCACCAGTTCAAACTGGTTGTTTACTGAAAGGAGCATCTCCTGAGCTCCCAACCACCTGTTCGTGTTTAGGTAGAGTTACAGAATTGCTTTTCATGCACCTGCTCCAATCAGATGCAATGTAAGTAGTTAACGCCGTGTACTAGATCAGGCATTAACTGCAGTCAATCTCATAGCAGGTAAATAAAGTGAATGACAACACACGGATTTGCTAAATATATGTTTAGCAAGAAACATTAGCAAGAAATAATACATTCTTGATTTTAAGCTGGATTGGCACATTGTCCATAGGATTTTTCCCTAATACTCTGATATGTGCACATGTCTTCATCCAAGCGTAGGTGGGAAGGTAAATGTTTCCCAAGAGTTTTTTTCCAAACAAGGTGGTACAGAAGGCAGCACAATCTTTCTGCGTAGTAGTGCAATGGTAATGTTTCTAGGATACTCCTGGTTGTAAAAGAATTGATTTCTTTGCAGATTTAGCATAGGAAGATAAAGTCATTTCCAGGCACTTGTAACTATCAATATATTGTTATGTGAGGAGCCTAGATTGTTTTGACTGAGCTCTTCTTCTAGTATTTTTTAGTGCAGATACCAATCCTTATAAGATTTCACTGTTTAGCAGTTAGGGTGTTGTTATGTGGGAGAGAACGTGCATTTGAGAAATAATACAAATTTTAAGTATCAACGCAGGTAGAAAATGCCACTCTATGTATTCAGCTGATTTTTCTGATTAAAACTTCATTAATTTTGTCATTTCTATTAATAATTCATTTTGTTAAGCTGTCTGCGTTAAATGGTGGCTATTGGTACCCAACAAGTGCAAATTATTAGCAAAGTCCGGGGGCTGAAGTGTTAGTGTAAGCTTGAAAACAGGTAACGTGCAGCAGCGTCTGTGTCCGCTAGGTGCCGATAAAGTAGCTTGAGAAAGTTTCTCCTGAATGTGCTCGGTTGTTTACAACTGCTGTTATTACAGAATAACTTCTCATGGGAGGAGTTCAAACACAGTAGAGGCAATTTTAGCCTTTTAATCATCTGGTGAGGTAACGAAGGATTGTTTTATCTAGCTCACAGACTGAGGTGATTTGGTGAGGTGACGTGGGAGGCTGGTGTCAGCAAGAGTATGATAGTTGTTCTACCTGGTAAACAACAGCTCCTGTTTTCTGTCATTTAAAACTAGGACGAATAAACAAGATTAGGCTAGATTTGTTATTGAGAATATTCCTTTAAATTTTATTTCAAATTTTCAACCCAAATTTGAGTCCCCCGAAATGCTCGCGGTTGTTAAAGCCGTTCACAGGCGGCTGGTACGTTGCAGGTTGTTTTGCTGTTCTCGAGTGACTAGTACTTTGTTGTCCTGTAAAAACAAATAAGTATAGTGCTAGCTAATTCACAATGCATTGGCAGAACAGCTGTGTATTTTCCACTTCTTTTCTAGAATCAAGCAATTCGGTATATGGAAGACATTTCTTCTGCTTTTGGAGTTTTGAGGACTTTTTGTGAGAGCTGATAGTGCTTCTCTGAATTCCCAAGATCAGCTCACTTTGAGAAGTTTTTCTCTGTTGTCAGGTAGTTTCTTAGCTAGGATTCAGTTTGAAAAATGCATATCTTCTTTCTTGTTTTTGTCACTGTGACTTTTTATTCTAACATATGTGTTTTCTGGGGCTAAGCAGACTGTATTTTAAATTTAGACTTTAAGAAGACTGGAAAAAATGAAATACTAATGAAGACATTAGTTTTTTGTCTAATACAAAGCTGGGAGAGATGGGCAAGTGAAATTGGCTTGCTGCTATGCTGTACCCGTTCATAACATTGTCATTAGACCTCCTTAAGTTATATATTTGTAGTGTCTGTGCATCGTACAGCTCTGTAGCGCTTGATCCTTGCTTCAGCTGTGATGCACCTGATCTTTATGTGACCGCCCAAACGCCTTGTTCATGTCCTTTCCAAAAGTTAGTGCTACTCTGAGGAGAGCCCGATTTCTTGGGGGCCATGGAATACTATAGCCCCCACTTGGAAAAGCGCTTAAGCACACGGCTGTCTTGAAACACATGTAGAGTCCTGTTGAAATCAGTGGGACTACTTATGCATTTTAAGTTAGGCACCTGCTTAAGTACGTTGATAATTCAGGGTGTATGAGAGCAGCAGAGACTGAGTGAATTCCAAACCTAGAAAACGAGGAGAAGACTCCAAAAGGCTTGAGACAGCACAAACAGTGGCGCTAGTTAGAACCGTTAGTCGGGCAGTAATGGAATTCAGCTGTGCTTTGGAAAAGCTGCTATGTCTTAGGGTTATTGCGTCTTATTATTTGCTAATTTGTGTGGTATTGTGCTGCAGAACTGAAGCAGCCATGTGGCACGGCAAAACGTGTTCTTTCAGCTTTAGAGCACCCAGGCAGCTGTGGAATCCACATGGTGTAAATGTTGTGCAAATAACGTAGGATGAGATGGCAGTGTGCGATTTTCGCGTAAGGAAGGTGCATCCTACAGGCAAGTGGGCAATAAAACTGCCACATAAAGTTGTGCAGTAGCTAAACCAATAGTAAAAACATATTTCCTGCGGGATTCTTGACATTCTCATTATAGTCAGCTAGCTTAACTGTAAATACCACTACATGGAAAAAGGATAGATAAAATAACACAATAAATTCTGTGGAGGAAGCATGAAGATTCAGTGTACGACGCCAGAACCTTTCCTTATTTAGCAGTGGGACGCGTTAAATGCAGATCATATTGTCATATTAGCAGGAACTGAAAAATAGTATTTTCTGGACAGTGGTTCTTTATTCTGATAGTGGAATTGTTAAAATATACTTCCCAGGAACTGTAGTCCCTTACAACAGCCTGCTGCCCGAGGCCTCAGCAAAAACTTGCAATAGCTTTTGCCGTGTAAGAGCAGATGACATAAATCTGAGAGCACCAGACTGTAAGCTAATGATACTGCTTACACACACTGACTTTTATGTCATTGCATTGCTCTGCTGACTTAGGTCATGGCACAGCGCTGGGCTGCGGAGTCTGATGGAGAAGCTTTTCTGAATTCTGCTGCAAACACTTGCAACTGCATTAACAACACTTCTTAGAAATACTTGCAGCAGATCAGTATTTGTACTGATCAGATTTTGTCAGATTTGGTGATTCAGCTGTAGAGACTTTAACTCTTTACTAACTTTTTGATGTTATCACTAAGCACCTGCAGTACACCAGAAAGATTCACTTTCAGCAGTCTCTGCTGTGATTATGCAGTTGGAAGAAAAGTATTCTGTGGACAAAATAAAACCGTATTTGGAGGCTTTGTTCAGGATGTTCAGCTTTCATGAACAGATAGATTGCAGTGGAGTGACAAGGAAAAGGGCATTTACTTTTTCAGCGGGGTGTCAAGGATAGCCTTAGAAGTTTATCTGTGCTGCTAATACTGACATACTTTTACACAGGAGAGATAGCATAGTATATAATTCTGCCATCAAAGTTATACATGCCTGGTAGGCCCACAAGCACAGGCCATCAGTCAGAAAGAAATGTTTACAGTGGAAAATAGATTTCTGTGAGGTACCAAAACCAATTTTCCTTACCTAGTCAGTGAAATGATCAAAGGTGAACTCATGGATGGATGTGCCTGACTTTCATGGAGCAGAACACAGCGCTACGTACACGTACGTGCACAAGGTTGGCCGGGAAAGACAAAGGCATTATTGTTGTTACTGCAGATGGCTATTTCAGTCGGTTAGTAAAAAGCAAACAGAATTAGTTTATGATACGGACATCTGTCAATCTTTATGACAAAGCTAGAGAAGCAAAGCCTAAAATATGCCTTTTTTTGGAAAAGAAATGTTCAGATAGATTGTATGGCAGAAAACATGCTTAATTCTGCTACCAGATGACATAATGGCTTTGCAGAAAAATGGCGGTGTAGGAGATCTTCTTGTGTCTTATTGAGCTATCGTTTGCGCAGGTTCCTCGGTAAGGGCTATGGGCTATGATTAGTGAGCATATTTGCCCAGTTGTTATGTGCTATAGGAAAATGAGCCTCTGGAAGAAGTAAGGGAGCTAAAAAAACCCTTGAATTCAGAACAAGAAGGAATGGTATAGCAGAGAGCTTATTTTAATGTGTCAAAGTAAATGAATCTATCCTTTAAAATTCCCTTAATAACTTTTGAAATAACTTTTGAAAAATAACTTTTGAATCCAAGCTTCTAAAAGGGAGCCAAGGGATGGGGAGGGAGAGGGCTGAGAGAGTTTACGAGAAGAAATCTGAGATGAGAGTGGTAGCTTTTTCACAGCATCAAGTGTCTTGCATTTCACAGGCTTAAAATACATTTGAATATAATGGAAGCAACAGTGTTTGCGTGAAAGATTGCCCTTACAGCACTTTACAGAGCTTTCCTGTTTAGTTAAAATTGATAACCTTTCAGAAAATAAAATAGCTAGAAAATATGTCTGTGTTTGCACTCGAGCAAAAATTGCCTTGATGAACTAGTCTGTTGTGGGACCTGTGAACTCCTCCTTTAGGCTGTCTGTACTATGTTGATGGATGCAAGTCTTGATAATGAGAATGCTAAGAATAAGATTGACTCGGCTCTGGGAAGGATGCTTATTTTATAAGCTATAAATTGATTCATGGACTTACTCTTTTCTTTTTGGTCTTGAGCGGAGAATAGCTCGTTTCTGCATCTGAGAAGGATGAGTTTATTGTAATGCTAATGTTGCAGGAGCAAAAGAATTCAATTTTTTCTTAATACATATTTGAGCTAACTATATAATAACAATTATGCACCCATGTAGCATTTTTGATCCTTTCAAAGCACTTGAAAAAGAATTTAGCAACACTGCTGTGCATAGGATAGATTAATGTATTTCATAATTTACAGACAAATGGATCGAGGGTCTAAAGACTTGTAATGGTTCTCTAAACCTGATGGTATTGCTGAAAACAAATATTTATTGCTTCTACTTTCAGCTATTATAGAGCATGAGTTCTGTGGCTATAGGAAAAAAGGAAAGATAAGTGAACAGTTTCACAAATAGCTTTATATCTGTAGTATTTTTGAATTTGGAGCTGTTGCGCTGTCCTGTAGGAAAACATGAAGAGTTAAAGCATCAGTTACAGGGCTCTACTAGCGGTAACGGAGAATTCTACATGTCCCTTTGCTCTTTCTTTCATGGAGCTAAAACAAGAAACTACTCACCTCCAGAGATGGTTTTATTCTTTGAATATATTTATCTTTAAAGTTATTAGATTTGAGACTTGGTAAACTAATAACATGCCAGGTTGCAGTCTAGAGACGTTTCACTAGGAATGCCCTGATTCCATCATTCCCTGACTAGACTTCAAAGCCAAGTGCCATAGCTGGGCCTGCATAGGGAAAAGTTTGATTGCTAATGTCGCCTGAGTTACCCCGACTTCTTGTGAAAAGCCATCTTTTGTATATGGAATATGTTCTTCATTATTAACAGGAGCTGAGACAAAAAATTTTAGCTTCAGTAAGTGCATTTGTCAATGTTCCTCTCAATATGCTGGTAACACTGGAGTTTTTATTACCATACAGATGTTTGCGTTCTATTTTTTAGAAGTGTTTCTGGAAACATGCTTTATTTTGTACAGAAGTTGCAAAATGTAGACAACAGAAACCGAGCTGCTGTGATTCTAATTACTAATAGTAATTAGAATAGTAATTTTGTTTTGTTGCAATGGTACATATGTATCCTTAATATTTTTCTGCAACAGCCTTTCTCTTTTGCTTTTTGTAGAAAAATATTATTTTTAAAGCCTTTCATAACTGGCTACAAATTTATTTCAGATTTGAATGAAGAAAATAAAGGGATTTCATTTACTTCTGAAGCATTTGAGTAATCCTGAGTAATGTTTTTTCAGAAATCTCTACTGATTTATAGTTGTGCCCTTGACTTTACTGGCCGCTCTGCTTAAGACTCAATTTAAGTGTAAGCCTTTGTGTTTTATAAGATTTTATTTTTCAAAATTCTATTTGAATCGCAAAATTTTAGCTCTCTGATTTTGTTAAAAATGGATAGAAATAAGTAGTACCTGCTTTTTATATAACTTTATTGAAGAAAAGTTAAGAGCAAGGGTACAAAATCTCTTTTACGTACTTTTCTATTGTTGACTGCTGTGTTTTATTGATAGTGTGATGTAATCCCAATTCCAGGTACTGCAGAGATTACTTCAGGAGGACAAGTGGAATATAGAGCTCTGTCTGGAATTCACTACATGGCATGGTACCATTTTGTTGGCCTTATCTGGACTAGTGAATTCATTCTTGCTTGTCAGCAAATGACGATTGCTGGAGCAGTGGTTACTTGTTACTTCAACAGGTAAGTGCAGAATTGCCCAAAGTATACTTTTTGCACTTTTTTCAGTGTTTACTTTCAATCTCTTTCTAGGAAAAGTACTATCAAATAGATTCCAACTTATGCCAGTATCTTGGAGCTCAGTTTAATCTAAAATAATGTTGCTTGTTGCAAGATCTTGGGTAAGATATTACAATGTGTATGGTATTATTAGTATGACTCACGCTTACCTCTAGACTTACTGGGTCAAACTGATCCTTAATACAAGCCAGCAGAGCTCCGTTGAGTCTAATGACATTACAGTTCATAAGGGGCAGCCTGCATTTAACCCTTTCCTAGGAGAATGCATTACCTCCAAATGGAGACGTAATATGTAGCTCCTCGGTAATTTCATGTATTCATAGGCACGTTCTTCCTAAGTGTTCATCTTTGCTCTGGCTTTTCGTTTGTTCTGTCTGCATTAATGCCTAGTCTGTTGTATCTGTTTTCATTCTGTGTAGATATTTTCAGTTAACTGCAAGTCCTTTAATAGCACTATTAAAAATTTAGAGACATGTAAGCAAACTTTCTTGATTTTTTTTTTTTTTTACCCTGACAAATAAATGTGGGGGAACTGAGGAAGACTCTTATTTACTTATCGTGGTTTATGCCCTTTGTCCCACTTCTTGTAATACTATAAAATGAAACTAAACTGTTTTCATGCAGTGGCATGGTGCTGTGCTAACATTGTGGGGGAAGATTTAATTTTAATAATACACTGGATTTTTTTTTGACAGTGAAGAGAGTTGTATCCTGAAAACATTTTTATTCATAATTGTTTTATGAGCTTTCTTAACCTCATTGCTCTGTTCTTCTACTCCACTTCTTGTAATGAGATTTTCTGGTCTGTGAAAAGCTCTGGCATTTCAAGGCGTTTCTTCATTTTGCAGTAGAGGAATATGATGATAATCTCCATTTGTTGGAAGACCAGCCCCTGAGGAAGGCGGCCTGAGGGCAAGTCAGGCAAGCTGCCTCAGAGGCTGGGAGCCTGGCAGAAGAGTGCCTGGGAAGCCCGGAGCTCAGGCTGCCAGGGCGCTGGCAGGTGAGGCTTTGGGCTTCTCCAAAGCCTAGGCGCTAGGTTACTGTTGACTCTCCTCAGAATGTATCCCTTGAAGTTTCAGTTTCTGATAGAAAAGCCTTCTGCTGAAAGATTTCCAAGTGCTCAGTTCTCCTCCATCCAGCAGAGAGGGCAGCATAGGCCCAGCTTACAGGAGTGTCACTGAGAGCTACCCGCTGTGGCTGAGGGTGGCTCCACCCCATCCATAGCTGCAAAGCTGGAAGCCCTGGTAATAGGCAGTGGCCACCACAGTTTCGAGTGTTGTTTTTTTGTCACTGAATTGGTATTAGTAAGAGACATGTTCATAGTGTAGACAGAACCAAAAATGCTCCTTTTTTTTTACAAAGTTGGGATCTGTATAGTGACATAATCTCACAATGCTATTTTACAAGCCATGATAGGACCTGAAAAGAGAGGGACTCCCATTTCATATGTTATCTCCTTTTTCTGATTGAAGCTCTAAACCCAAGTAACTGGCAAGTTTGTGGTTCTGTGCGTAGTTCCCTCTAAGCATAGAGGGAAGCTGCTCCTTCCCTCTAAGCTTATTTGTTTTTTTCAAGCTTTAACAATTGACGGTTGTATCATAAAGCTGACTGCTGGGGCGCTAAGGATTCATTTAAAAGGGTTTGCTTGAGAAAGCACAGGAAAGGAAGGAAGTTTCACTGCCTTTTACTGGGTTGAGTACTGCAGTGCATTTTGGTAAGGCACACCATCTGAGTCCCCAGGGCAAGGACACTGTCCATGTCTTCATGCAGAGCAGGGAAGCAACTGTAGAAGCTGTTGTGATGACTTTTACTGCTTTGTTAGGCTCTTCTGCTTTCCAGCTATTTTTCTCCAGCTCCAGGAACTGGCAGCAGAGTACAGAGGGTTCCCGCTCCCGATTGTATTGAAATCATTTTGCACAGATACTTTTAAGCCCTCCATTTGCTTGCCCGGTGACATGTACTGTGCTGAGAGTTGTTCTTGGGAAGGGAAATGTGATATTTCAGCGGTGGTGATCCCTCTTCCTGGCCTTTAGGCTGCCAGCACAGATCCTTAGAGACACCAGAACAGTGAAGGAACGGGGAGAGGACGGTGAACGGGGAGAGGACGGTGAATAGGCAGAGCTGCTGCCTCATTAAGGGCAGGGGTTATCTCAAGCTGTTCCAGCAATTCTGAGCTTGTTTGCTATGTGTTTTTAATGTATTCCCTGGGGCTGTGTCATAAAGACATGTCACAAGAGTTTGTTTATGATACCTCACACAAAGGCTTTCTTCTTGGCTAGTTAGTGCTCCGAGGAAAAGGCCTGGCTTTTCCTTGCGGAAATCTTCCGCAGCGCACGCGGGGGTGTGTGCTGCGTGCCCACCAGCCACAAGCGGGGCTAGGAATGGGAGCTGTTGCGGCTGGCTTAGTTTTACAGGTGACATATGTTTGACCTGCAACACCATCACTGAAAGTGGATTTAGCCTTTTTTGTTTCAGATTAAAAATAAATAACTGAAAGGTTTTAGTAATTTAATGAAATAAATAAAACTTATTTAAAGGTTACTTTTTATGACTTGTGAAATGGGCTCAGTCTTTAAGAAAACCTCTTTGTCAGTGTTACTATTTTACAAAAAGATTTATTTTCACCTTGATGTGCTTAGGGTCATGTGTGTATTTGCCTTTTCAGTGAGATGAGGGTTTGCCCTTCTCTGGGACCGAAGGAAGGTGGTACGGTAAATTGTCTCATATTACAGGAGTCTCAGTCCTGTCCGCGCTGGAGTTTATTCAGTAACTCTGGCGTGCGTGTCCTCCCCGTGCTGCTGTTCTGAGTGCAGCTATCGGCACGTTTATGCGTTTGTAGGGTGGCAGATCTCTGCTTCTGTTCTGCAAACCCTTCTGCCCAGGCTTGAAATTCAGCATATATACAGGCGCTTGCAGGATTGGGGCTTTGAACCTGACGCTGAGATGCTCAGCACCACAACTGCCAAAGGCTTCAGTGGGAGCTGAAATCCCACAGAACTGACTGACCTACATCTCCGAGGAAGCCAACAATCTAAGAGTTTATGAATTTGCACCGAAGTAATTAGGAAATGAACCAGGACCATATTTTTAAAGCATTCCCCTGCCCCTTTCAAATACAACTGTAATATTTATGAGCATCTTTTGCCCTGCTCGCATACTTGGCCTAGCTCATGCAAAAGGACCCTACAGCATGTGTGTAGTCAGCCGAGTCACCTGTGCTTTGGAGAGCAGGTAAAAGGGTAATTGAAATTACAGTCTCTGTGTTAATTGGCTGTTGTTTCTGTTGCTACAATCTTGTAATTCATTGTATTTGCTTAAAAACTGAGATTCATATTTATTTAGGGAATGTATGATTAATGTTTTTTTAAAAGTTTTTTTTTTTTTAAAGTATTTTTATACTAAAACTCTTGATCTCATTTTAAGCAGTGAGACAGGTGAGACAGGATTGAAGAAAACTATAAACACAACTTTGAAAAGAAGGACAGGCTTTTAAAGAAATGCGCTTTTTTACTTTTAATTATCTAAGTCTTTTTGGTCTTCTAGTTTGAATATTTTCTTCACAAAAAACAAGAAGCGATTTTAAAAAGAAAGGTGAGATTCATGTGTGATCACTTGATTCAAGAAACTTGATATTAAGAAAGATACCAAAAATCAGAGTTCGGAACAAAATAAAGACAATTGGCAGCACTAGAGAAATAAAATAGTCAGAAGATGATGTGGTACTGAGTACAGATTCACAGGAGTTCGGAATAGTGGTGGTCTATGTAAATCCAGCAATCCTGCGGTAACATGAAACAGGAATACCAGTGGGGAGAATCAAGCTGTGGCCCTGGCCAGTTGGGCAACCAGTTCTGTGCAGGCAGATCCCTGTTTTCTCCAGTACCTTGTTGTGGGGGGTACCGTGTCAGCGCACTGGAGCCTCCGTGCACAGAATTCGTTGCACCATATGACTGTCTGCAAAAGCTTATGTATGTACATGGCTAGGCTTGTGCTGAAGTCCTTTCAGCATTGCAGCTATACAATGTAGAAAAGCTGGCTGAAACTTCAGCCTTGATGGTAATTTGGGTATAGGTGGATAAGAAAACCGATCCTGAGCTTATTTTGAGTCACAAGCATTAGCTGTTACCGTGATTAGCTAGCCGTTTTCCTATGGTTCCTTATTCTGAGCCAGCTTTGTTCTTTTTGTAAGCAGTTTCAAAGGAAAACAGCAAGCAACCTTGACAGAGCCTGTTCCAGAGAGAATTCCTTTGCTAGGACAAGGTTTGGAAAAGCTTCCAAATATGTAGAAATTTATCTAAACCAAACTTCAAATCCTGTGATTCCTGCTCATTAATCAGTTCCGATAAAAAATATCAAAACCCTTCTTCACTTTTCTCTTCAATGGCAAGTAAATCATTAACACAAGAGTCACCTTTGTCCTTTATGTATTTCTTACCCTTGGCTAACGTTTAACTTGCAGATTTTATATTCTGAGATCTGACCGAGGCTGTCATATGTAAGATATTATAAAACGAAAAGGAGCAATGATACTGTATGGGTGGAATAACTCATGTATATTGAGATGTATGTGTTTCTAAGAGAGAAACTTGAAGACTTAAAGAAAGGCTTATTCAGTATAAAATTCCAGTATTCCCCCAAGCTGTTCCCCAAGTTGTAAGACCAAAAATAATAAATGCAGCAACTGCTTTGCTGGAATTTCCTATTTAAAATAATGTGGTATATTCACATATTTAAATATAACTTTTCAGATACAAAGTAGCTAGCATTTTGAAAGGACCACAGTGATACTTTCAGGATTCTTGCAGAACTGTGATAGCTCTCTTGACGTAGTGTGTACGACTTAAACCCTTGTTGAGGTGAGGATTTAATAAAAATATATTTATAGACCTTTTTAGCCCCACCCAGTCACTCCCTCTTATCTCTTCCTATTTATTTTTCAGTTTCTTCTGTAAACTATTAATTTTTTTGAGATAGCAGAGGTTTTGAAGGAATTAATTTTAGAAACAGAACTTCTTATCTATGATTTAAGGTCTGTTCTTTACTTAACTGCTTATTTAAACTGCTGCTGGTTGTATTGCCTGAGTAAATTTTTCAGAACTGTTCCTATTATTTAAGGGTTGCCTTATAGAAGGATGACTTATGAATATTAAGCAGTATTTTCTGAATCCTCTAAAACGTTTCTTTTAGGTATTTACAGTGTTTATATGATTTTTTTTTTTTACAGTGTTTGAAGAGGGATAGGGGAATGACTTTAAGTTCATTTCCTGGTTTTCATATAAATTCTTCAGAGCTGTGTCATACCCTTCTCTGTAAAGGATTCACATTAAACTGGCCTTAATAAAAATAAAGAAAATAAAATCTGTATTTGAGATTCTTATGCCCGTTATAGGAGGTTATTTTTTGTCTTTCCTTTTCAATTTTGGAATACACATTATTACCCTAAAGCAATACAGGTTAGTGTGCAGTAGCATTGCAACTTTTCTAGGCCAAATTATAATTCTTAGTATGTAGTATCAAGTTCTTTTCTTGTGTATTCCATTTAAAACAAAACTTGCTCAGTGATGAGAAATATGTATTAATTATCTGAGCAACATTTAAAACGAAATTTAGCCAAGCTGTAACAAGAAAAGTAGGCAGTAGATCTCAGTTTTGCACATGAGATCTTGTCTTTTTTTTTTTGTTTGTTTTAGTTTTTACCACTGAAGCGGAAATAGTGAAACTAAAGGGAAGTGTTCAGGGAAGTATAATTCTTAGATGTTATTCACTCACTTCTGATATTTTCCGTACTAGCTTTTTCTAGCTATTTCTCCGTTACTGAATACATCAAAACAGTTATTGCTTAAGAATTAAGCTAGTTCAGTAAAAGTTTTAAACTTGGCTACTTTGATTTGTACTGCAGTGAATGTTTAGATGAAGTCGTAGGAAAACTGGAGTTATTTTAAGCGCTGAAGGAGATATCAGATTAATTCTTTAAATCTCCAGAAATTTCCTGAAATAATACAATGTATATCTTCTTAAATAACAGTTTCTAAAACATTTTAAATTGTTTGTTTTTCTTTCTAGAAATAAAAATAGCCCACCACGTCACCCAGTCCTGTCTTCCATATCAGTTCTTTTTTGCTATCATCTAGGAACTGTTATAAAAGGGTCGTTTTTAATCACAGTACTAAGAATACCAAGGATTTTTCTCTTGTACCTTTATAATTTCCTAAAACAAAAGGTAGGTATATACTCCTATAACACCGTAAAATTAGTAGTTAAAAGGTGAGATTCAGGAAAAAAATTGTGGAGAATATATATGTTGCTTTAAAAATGGATGATAGAATGTGGATTTTATATTTTATTCCATTTTCTCCATGGAGAAAGTCTTTTCAATGTGCTTACCTTTTTTTCTCTCAGCTAAGATATTTTTAAAATAAGAAAACACCATCATTAAAAATAACTTTATTTACTTTTTACATGTAAAGTTTTTATGAAGGAGAAGGGAAAATACAAAGTTGGCAGAAGGCTTTATTTAAAATGTTTACATCATAAATTTTTAAAAAGTGATGTTCTTACATAAAATGTCTTTTATAGATAAGATTTCACTCGTCTTGTGACGTGAGTTTATAAAAAGAATGTATGAGATTAGGACTATTCTAGACATTTGCATAGGATCCATAACACATCTTTTAAGGCATATGAAAATATAGCTGGGCTGTTTTGGTTGTTGCTTGCCTTCTTCCTCTCCTTCATGCATCTCCACCTTTCTCACCCTCTGCTGAAAACACACCATTGCAGTTGGTTCTGGCACTTTGGCAAGGAGAGTGGGCTCTCATGAGTGCACAGCTCTGATTCTAGAGAACCATTTAGACAGAAAGTTTTCAAACGTAGGTCTTGGAATTCATCCCTTTTCCTCCGAAGTTTGCCTTGGCCCTGAAGCGTGTTATGTATAGTTAAGAGAGGGTATTTGCACTGAGCATCTCTGGTACTGATGAGGCATGTGTGAGACATGGTTTGTGAACAGCAAAACAAAAGTCAGTCTTAATTAGATGTTTAGAATATCTGCAAGCATCTGGGTTTATGTCACTTTTGTGTATGAAAGCCTTGGTTATAAAACTTGGTGAATTGGGTTAGTTAAGAACTTGTTTGTGGATGGTAGGTGGGATGAATTATGCTAGAAAGAAGACAGAGTATGTTCTGCCTTTAAAGGAAGTAGAATGAGTGGACTTGTTGGGTATACGTTTTTGTAATCTGACTAGCTGTAAAAGACTTATCTAGCAAAGAAGGATTATTTGTCTGTAGCAGTGTGCTTCAAGCTTCTTCTGTCTTTTTCTGGTTCCGTTGCCAAGCATCCAGCTGAGGCAGGTGTGACACGACCTGTGGTCCTAACTCTGCCTAAAGAGGCTAGAGAGTGCTCAGACCAGCTCGTGTCCCCAGTTCACTGAAGGATCCCCCTCAAAAGTAACCTAGCTCATTCCCATGGAAGGAAGGAAGGGCTGTGGCACCTTTCCCCTGAGGTCTCCTGCAGAGAGGGCAGTAAAAGTAGTGAAAGATGGAGAAGGGATGCTGCATTCCTGTAGAGCTCACCCAGACTTTGCAAAAAAAAGTTCCTGTTCTCTGTGGAGAGCAGAAGTCGGGGAGTATCTAGCCGTGTGGGAAGGACTACAGGTTTTGCAGGGAAATTCAATGGTACTTCCTATGTGGAAATCTTCAAGCAGAACAGTAGAGAGGAGATTGCAGTTGAAGGCCCCTGCTATAGGTATTTAATAAATAGCACCTACTGAGGTATATACATTTTCCGTAAAGTAATTTCTCCAACAAGAATTGATAAGATAAAAGTATTTCACTGGTATCAGGAATTTGTATCTGTGTATTTGTATGAATGTACAGTGCCCATTCTAAAGGAATTAGTCCTGGAATACTTGCAAGAATTTGAGAAAAAAGTTAGGAGGTTCATGGTTTGTGCAAAACTTCATGGTAGCTGTGGGACCTGAGGATTTCATACAGTGACTGTCAGAGCTTTACTTTCAAAAGCAAAACAAAATCCTTCTGATCTCTGGAAAAAAGAAGATTGAAGACTCATATATCACTGAATTGAGTTTCCTTTTCCTGAGCAAAATGGCCCTTTAAAATTGGAAGGCTACCATGGCTACCAAGATGTCTTTTTTCTTGTCTTGTTTGGTAAAATCTTTACGTGTTAAACAATTCTGAGCTCTTGATATGATGTTGAGGGCGAAACAACCGTTGAGCTTTTCTGCTCTGTTTTTGATGTGAAGTTAATATAGATCAATATCCTTGTTAGAATTCAAATTGTTTAGTGAATGGTTTGTTCAGCAAAATATAAGTCTTTTCCTCCTGCTCTGAAAAATGAATGTTTGCTCTGGGTCAATGCACATACACATGCATGAAAGTCCTCCTGCCCGTTCTTTTATTTTTGTCTGTTGGGGGTACCAGTCATTTCAGAAATATGAATATGTCAATATGACAAATGACAAAAAAGATTAAAAAAAAAAAATTACCAGTGTACTCCTGGGTCACTGAAAAGTATTTGTGAGGGTTACTGACTTGCCTGTCTGTTTTGTTCTCCATGCAGCTATTAGCTCACTAAAGCTGCTTACAGCGCTTATTTTCTTTCCTAGAGAAGACTCTTCCATGCACAGGAAGAAAAAAATGCTCAGCTCGTCAGTCATTAATACTGTAGGGTCTGAATTAAAAAAATTTCCTATAATCTGTAAAGAAATATCTGTTGCCTAAATGAATGCTTTGTAAGAAGAGATACAGTGTCCTGTAAAGCAAGTTTTCTAAGATGTCACTTTTGTCCAGTAACCAAACATTTCGTTTTATTACAGGAAAGCGCGTGTGCAAAGTGCCTGTTCAAGTGCTGTTTCTGCTGGTTTTGGTGCCTAGAAAGGTGCTTAAGATACTTTAACCAGGTACACTCTGTCATCTCTCTATCACTTGACCGTCTGCATGCCTGTCCAGAAACCGTGCATGTCTCTAGCTCCATTTAACACAACAAATAATGTCAGTTAGTTAGGCCTTCAAGTTAGGTGGAGAGTGTTGCCAAGAAACAAGGAATTGACAAACATGCAAAGTGCTGAGCGTAAATTTCAGAAAACTTTTTCCAACAGCTTGAGATGGGCCTTGCAGAGGGCCACCTGCTATTTCCAAGGGTGTGAAGCCTTAACATCTCCTTGAGTTGTGCCAGAGAGACTGCAGAAATGTGGAGTATCCGGGTGGAAAGAAGCACTGAAGAAGCAAGATACCCACCAGATGTGTCATTAAACTAGGGAGCTGGATGTCTGCAGCTTATTACTTTATTTCTATTAGAGATAGAATCTAGGGACTTTATCAGAACTGGGACCCTGTTGTGTTAGACACTGTACCCAGTTCCTGTCTATTGCTTTTATAAAACCTTATAGGTCGATATATTATTTTCCTCTTGAAGGTCCCTATTAAAAGCAAACATTCAACTGTTGGCTGATTTCTATTATTAATATACCTGGTAGTGTAAGCCATGATGAAAAAGCCAGATGATACAATAATATCTTTCTTTGAAAGACATTTTTGTTTTGTTAGCAGTTTGTTTCAAAAGTGTTTTTATTAGAAGTAGATGATTTCTGACATACAGCACTTTTTCAGACACTTGACTCCCACTCCTTCCTTCCTGATCCGTTTCTCCGAGTTTTTTCCAACTCCATTTGCATGATTGTATATAGTTATTTTTTCTCTTTGTCAGTCCCCTTTTGTCCTCTGGTGGCTGTGGTATCCTTAATGTGAAAGGAATCATATGCTGTTCATTTTGATTCCTAACTCTGTAACTGTTGCTTTTCTTTTTCTCGTTGTTGAGGCCAGTAGTGAAGTACACGAGACGATCCTGAAAAATTGTCTGACAACTTGTTCTAATGAAGGTGCATAAATTAAACTTAATTCTGGACAACTATAAAGAAGAAGTCTTTCACTTATTGCAGTCTAGATTTAATACTGTGTGGCAAAATCTCTAGTACTAGCTGATGAATTTTCCAGACTTACATTTCTTTGGGTAGATCTTATGGTCACTGACTTGATGAGGAATCTCAGAGTTAGTTTTGACTCCAGGCATGCCACTTATTGTCACCCTTCCCTTGGCTTCCTGCCTTTCAAAGAGATAGCCAGCATCCTCGTGTTTGCCTTTTCCAGCTGTTATATGCTATGTGTGTTTAAAGAAAAAAAAGAACTAATTATTGTGATGTTCTTTCTTTGTTTCAGAAGCTTATATTTGTTCTCTTAAAAGGGTTCCTGTTTCCTAATTTATTGCAGGAAAGAAAATCTGTTCTTGTATATGAATTGGGTTTTTTTTAACCTAATGATGATAATTTTATGTTTACTGTTGAATAATTGTTTGTTTGAATGTCTTTTTGACAAAGCGGATGGCATTCTGTGTGCTCCAAACCCAGGGCAATTTGGGAGAGGGTTGGAGGAGAAGAAAAGCAGGAATATTTCATAAGATAGGTAATAGAAATTTTATCTGTATGAAAGGGTAATATCAGGCTCAGATCAGTGCATTAAATAGAACGATTAATTTATCAAATCATTTTTTTCTTAATTTTTTTTCCTATAAAGAACATATTCAAGCCTGATTTTTTAAAAATAGATATCTTGATTAAGATTGAAAATATGATCCAGTCTTCAATTTTGCAAAATCTATGGCCAAATATTAAAAAAAAAGAAAAAGTCAGAGCCTACAATTTAAGCAGCTTAACATATGGCTTGATTAACAGAAGTGCTGACCTCTTGAGAGCTCTCATTGAGATCAGTGAAAGCTGCTGTGTACTGCCTTGAAATTTCACATAGTTATTGAACATGGACTCAAGAATAAGACTTCATGATTTTTTTTAAATTGCTTATACATATGTTTCTAACATTTTGAAAGTATTTTTGAGTATTCAGATTCTGATTTTTATATGAGTTGAAATTACTAAAATGTAGAACAGCTGTTACAAAAGTTGGTCCAAAACTCATTGCGTGTACTCACATTCCTTGCTATGTTGTTGCCTTTTACCCCAGAATTACATTCACCACAGTAATAAACATACAATTACCTGGAAATGCTTAAAAAAAAAAAAAAAAAGCCTTCCCAATCACTTCTGCACTGTTTTCTTCAACCTGTTGTTATATTGCGTAAATGATATAAATTCTTTCTTGTCCTTCATTCACAAGTTTGATCAGGATTAAAGAGAGTCTTTGTTTTCCCTCTGGGAAACATGCGGATGAGAAACAGGTGTCGGAGGAAGTAACATTGGTGATAGAGTGTGTGAGGTGCTTTCTTCCCGTGCACCAAGTGCTGTGTTGTGTTGTCAAAGGGTACTTTGTAGGCTGAGCGTGCCATCGTTCATGTGGGATTTAACACTGACTTTGACTGTTGCGTGCCTCCCTGAATGACTCGTCTTCTCCAGACTCAGCTGAGTTCTCTGCAGCTCTCTTGCAACGTCGCTCAGAAGGGGCCAAAAAGGTACCCTCTTGTCTTCCCATCATGTCAGAGTGCTTGTGCTTGTACTAGTTGCTAACAGTTGCCATATTTCCAGTGGCAGTTTTTGGAGGAATGGGAATGTAAGCCTAGTATCCTGTTCACATTGCAATGTGGATAATTACATTCTGCCTTCCGAAGAGTTCTCTTGGATTTGCAACTGGATCCTGTGCTAAACTGCGGTGTAGTGTTGCTATGTGCTGTTAAACAGTTCACTCCTTAAGCTGTTCCATTTCAGTCATGGGCAAAGTGATTCATGTGTGTGTATAATCCATTAGTAACAATTGTAAAGCACTCTGGGTTCTATCTGGATGAAAAGTGCTTTCTGAATATAAAGTCATTATCCTTACTTGACAGTTCTGTTTGCCAACACTTGTCAGAATTACCACAGATTTTTCATCTTCTGGCTCTGATAGGTTCAGTGTGTTCCAGATAAACATATCCAATCATCTCAAGAAAAATCTGGTAGATTGAAACTGCTCTTCCATAAAAAGAATATACTGTTTTCTTTATGTGGTTTGGGAGCTATAAGGTCTGTCTGTCTCCTGCTCTTTTAAATTGTTGTGGCAAACTCTTAACTTTTGATACATCAAAGAAGTCACTTTTTTTCTTGTAGCCTTTCTGCAATGACTTTTTTTTTTTTTAACACAGTATATCTATTGCAGGATAATTTTGCTTTTCTGTGTCTGCTTTGGGTTCATCTGTAGCCAGTTGGCAAGCAACTGTTCCAAAGTGGATTTCTGAAGGAGTGGCAGAGTAGTATGTGGTTTCTCTATTTTCATCAGCGCAGTGACCTGTAGCGTAGCCTTCAGGACTCGGCAGTAGCCATTACTGATGAAGGGCAATGTGATAGCCTGGTCATGAGAACCCTTACGGATACTGAAAGCTAGCAACTGTCCAGTGTAAAAAACAAACAAACAAACAAAAAAACCAAAAAACAACGGAAGCAAGGCTTGACTAATGGTCTTATATCCGTGGCAATTGATTATCTTTTACACTTTGGATGGAGGCCTATCAGGAGGTTGTGGTTAAATGCCTTGTGCAGAAATGACCTAGATAAAACCAAAATTCATGTGTGCTAATATAAATACAGTTCTCCTCTGCACTGCCAAACTCATTGTGCTTCACCCCATCTAGTACTTCTTTTTCCTTCCAAAAACAATACTGTATTTTAATGTTACTGGCAAAATTGCTACTAGATGTTAAGCTAAATTTTCAATCATCTTGAAAGTACAGTTAGCTAAAATGTTCATCTTCAGTGAAATCATATTTTGAATATGTTTGTTTTCCCTGAGGAGGCTGTATGTGCTACAACAGGAGATAACATTTATTAGGTCTTTATTTGCTCTATATGGTGAACTACATGGGGGACAGAGATGAACAAGACTGACTTGCTTTGACGCAGGCAGAACTGAACAGCAGGGTGGTCTGTAACCTGACAGTGCCTTATGACCTCCCTGAATCATTTCCAGTTTGCTAAACAGAAGCCTTTCTCCTCTCCCTCTTCTCTTAAGAGAAGGCAATGAAGCAAGCAGCCAGGAATTCATGCCTTTAAGAGGGGCAATTTCTGAACTACTCTGGCTATGTTTAGTTTGTTTTTATTTTGGAGCTCCCAAATGAGAACATTGTTGCAGTAAGGAGGATGCCACTGTTAGCTATTCAAGTAATGATGTACTCGGAGAATGATGGGTATTTAAGGCAGGACCCTTGTGGTCCAGCCCCTGTGGTTGAAACAGAGCCCTGATGTAGCTATGCGTTGCTGCAGGAAAGGAGATCCAACTACCCTCCCGAGGAGAAAGATGTGTTGGTTGTACCCAGTGGGTGACAGCCATGGAGGGAGTGGGTGAAAAACTGTGAATTGGAGTGCGCTAAATGATAGTCTCTGAAGATAGTTTTACCTGTGAAGAGAAAGATGGATATATACAGAAAGACTGGTTTGAGGAACTGGAATACTAGAAATAGGATGAAATATAGTAGTTTGGTATGATTAGCCTAAGGACTGAAAATAATCATTTCTGTATTAGCTAGATGCTTTTTGGTTGGAAGTGACGGAGAACATTAGCGTGTCTGTCAACCATAGGGCAAAAGCCATCAGTTAATGCAGCTGCAGAAAGGGTAGATTCAGTCCTAGCAGGTGTGGGATGAAGTACTTCCAACACAGAGAAGGGGAGCAATGTCACTGTACAAGCTGCTGATTAGGCAGTCAGGCTTATCTCACAAGAGTGAGTTGGAATATCCTGCTGTGTCTACTCTGACAAATGAAGGGTAAGAGCAAACAGGTTTGCCATCTGTGAGTGTATCAGGAAGAGAAACAAAAGGGAGGGATAAGAGCTGAGACAAGATTGGAAGAAGAATGAATAGATGTAAACTATTCATGGGTAAACATTGTCTGGAAATTGGAAAAAGGTTCCTAAGGACCAGAGAGACAATGGTCTGGAACAGCACCAGATGTACAGGGTTGGAGGGGGAAAAGCCCTAAGTAGCTTAAAGAGGGAGCTTTCAACTCAGTAGAAGAAACTGTGTAGTTTGAAACAGCCAGGGACTCGAGTGGCTGAAAGTCCATTCCAGTCTTACACGTCCTCATCACTTCAGTGTGGTCTCATTGGCCCCTGTTGCTATAATTTCCCACCACTGTCTGAGAGGCATGATACAGCTTTCTCACTGTGTCAGCGATGACCTGCACAGTAGCCACAGAGACAGCATTGTCACTGGCTACCACTCGATTTTACTTTTTGAGGGGATTCCTCAGCTGTGCACTCACAAGCTAGGAGCACTTAAAAGTCCTGCCTGAGCTCCACTGCATTGCACTGGGTGTAGATAACCAAAGCAAGTCCCCAAGAGAGTTGGCCCCAAGAAAATCAGGTCAGTCTGAAAATACCAGTAAAGCAGAAAAAGCTGAAGTGGGATGTGAGACCAGCATGTCTCCTGCTTCTTTTTTAAGAAGACTCTGTTGCTATAGCAATCCTTTCCCCCTAAGCTCATTTTATCAAAGCAGGTCCTAGAATGGAGGGCTGAATTCAGCTGTTACACAAAGTAGCAATTATTCTCAACAATCAGGGAAGTTACGGCCTGGATCTGAGCCACAGTGCCTTTCTCATGAAACTAGCAGATCAATTTTTCCAAGACCCTTGACATTCTGTGTTGCGAAGCACAGAAGGATGTCTTTAAATAGTTTTTTGCATGCTGTGGTGTTTGGAAATATGTAAACATTCACATTCCTTATTTATTCATTCTGACACTGAGAAACTAGTGTCTAGTTCCCAGGCCTCAAGCCAGAAGAGGCTTGTGTTCTTCAGAAAGGTGATGACACAGTACTGACTTACTAGTGCAAGAATAAAGACTGCTCCTGACCCACCGTCTCTCAGGCTTTCTGATCCATGCTGCAGCACTGATGTCATTACTGCTTGCTTATCAATGTAGCAGAAACTACCATCATAAAACATCGATGCATTGAGCAAAGATTAAGAACATCATAATAGCTATACTGAGTCAGACTGAACCTGCATCTAGCTTGGTATCCCTTCCCCAGCAGTGGTTGTGAGCGAGTGCTAGGAAAGAGTGAGAAGAGTGTACGTTTCCCCATCCCCAGTGCCCTTTCTGAATCTTGTTTTCAGCCTAGGGACTTCTTGAGCTGGTTATAGTTTCTGTGTGTTTAATTACTCTCAGTGGATTCCCGTTCCCTGAACTTTTCCAGTCTCCCTTGAGCCCCTGCGAGCGTTTAGCAGCTACCGCATTCTTTGGCTAGCAGGTCACAGCTTACAGACCACAGTGAGAAGAAACTATCATCAGTTTTTTGAATCTGGCGTCTACTAGCTTTGTATGGTTCCCCCTCTGCCTAGTCCTTGCATCGGAAGAAACAATAAGCCATCTAACCCTATCTACCCCCTCCACGTTTTTCATGATTTTTCTAGCTTTCTTACCACATCCTCCTTCATTCATCTCTTTTCCAGACAGAAGAGTCTGGTGTACTCAGTTGTTCCCCAGACAGAAGACATACCATACCTTTTGGATCATTCTTGCTGCCCTTCTCTCAAGCATTTCCAATTCCACTAAAGCTTTTGTGCATGGGAAAAGAGAATACAATCTGCAGAAAAAACACATTTAAATAATCTGTTTCTAAATGAGAGCAAATTCTTAATTTACCGTAGACTACCATTTTAGCCTTTGCAACTTCCTTTTCTTTGAAAGGGAACAGGTTGTTGCACGTGCCCTGGAACTAGAAAATATATGGGACATCTAAGTTCCTTGGTCCAGAGTGCAGAAACATCTGCAAATACTGGGAACAGCTTGTGTGTGTGGGTCTGTGGGTGTGTGTGTGTATTAGGGTTTTTTGTGGGTAAGGATGAGAAATCAGCAATACCTTCAAGCAAAGCACTGATTTTTAAGGAGGTAGCTCATTTCTGTGCAACTCTGAGTTTGATGAGAACATACGTTTCATTAAACGTTAGACGTATATTTTGTTAGTAAGAACGTACAGGTTTCTGTAGGGCTGGATGGGATCAGGGTGTGGGGCTGTATAGGAAATGAGCATTATGGAGCTGCAGTCTGAACAAGAAACCCTCAAAATACCTTTTTTTTTTTTTTTTTCCTCTCAGAAATATGTTTTTTCCCAGAAGGTAAACATCACTTGACTAAGTCTTCAGCTTGCACTGGTGGATAAAAGTTCTTATTTTATCTGAGTTAACGACTAGTTTTGTAGCCTCTGGCAGTTCATTCATCTCTGTGTGTCTTTTATTCCCTCTGTAATACTGGATTATGACCTTGCTTGGATGTCGTCATGACTAGTTGATATTTATATGATTCCTTGAAGTTATAATCGCTATGAATGTCATTTTCTCTTAACTGATTTGTAACATCACAAATCCTTATGCAGGTAGTAGTCACTCCCCAGTGTTATTTTTCAGTCTTTCCAAGATAGCTGTGCTGGTTAATAAATATCACAAATTCTTTTAGTTGCACATTCCTAAGATACCAAAGTGGCTAATTCCAGAGTGCAAACAAGTGGTTATTTATTTTAAGCTTGGAAGCAGTGTTTGTACAAGTGCACATGCATTTTCAGCATTCTTTTTAATTTTTAAGAGGAATTTTGTGCTATTCATTATGAATACAGAATCTTTGTTTAACTTATTGGCAAAATTCATACTGACCTCACCGGATCAGGGTCTGTTTTGTGGCCTTAGTTCTGAAGCGACAGAAACAAACTTTGGAAAGCCATTTTTCCACTTTCTGTCTCAGTTTCCTGTCTGTAAATGGGAATGATGAAACAAACGTAACTTGCAGCACACTATAAAGATAGCTCTTTCCATTTGTGAAATATGCAGTGACAGCTACAGATGAAAGACAGAGCAGGAGTTTGGCCTGAGGCCCTCCATTTCCCTGCGCTCGTAAGGCAGGTGGGGCAAGGAGGCTCCTCTTTCAGAGGTGTAGGCAACGGGTGAGTCAAAGGTGGTGTAGTCAGCGCCTGGTTGAGCCAAACTTCTGTACAGGTCCTGCCGTAGCACTCACGGGGGAGAGGAACAGCGTAAGCGCAAATGAAAGCCCGCTAGCACAGACAGCATTTTCCTCTTTAGGAATGGAGTGAACTTGCTTGTTTAAACAGATTTTTATGCAAATACTCTGTGTTTCGGCAGAGTTCAGTGGACTCTTTGATTTGATTTGATTTTTTTATTATTACAGTAGACAATAAATCCATGGTCTCTATTTTAATTTTTTCCATCTATGGATGCTTTTATTACTATACAAGTACTATGTTTATAGGCTGTCATTGTTTACTTCTACTAATTTTTCTCTAATTAGTAAGAAAAACAATTTCCTTCACAAATAAAGGAAGTATTATCCACAGTGAAGATACCAAGGATCTTTGCCAGCATTTATTTTCTTCCTTCTTTGTAATATTTTCAGATTCAGCGATGTCAATATACCCATGCTACAGGACAGTATAGTACAGAAATTGATATGGGGTACAACTGGGCATTGCAGAAATAGATTTTATGCTTTAAGATGTCTGAGGCTATTTCACGTTTTTATTTGTATGAATGAAAAATGTATTTTTGAACCAGAAATGTTCTATAATAGAGGTATATAATTCACTTGCAGCAAACAGCTTTTTTTTTTCACTCCTAGGTGAAGCAGTAAGTAATCTAAACATTAAGCAAACGCTGGGGTTTATAAATTCCTTCTGAGCAGTAATCCCTTGCACGCTGTGGTTCTTACTGAGCACACCAGATGTAACTAATGTTTTGTGACATAATCCACCTTCTAATATTCTGAGAAAAGGGAAACTATTCATAAGATTTGCTGGCACACATTTCAGGTATTTTGAGTGCTGTTTTTCTTAGCTGATATTTTGGAGACTGATTCAACATTTCATTGAAGAGTTCCATAAATGGGACAGATGCGCCAAGTTATCCAGAAGAGGTGCTAAAATAATCCAGCCCAAGAAGGCAGTTGGTCTGTCCTTCCCACCTGTCATGGCAGAGTTCCACAAAGAGAAATCTTGCAAAATCCTCAGTGCCTTTAAAACTGTGAGCGCCATGGCTATCTGGTAAAAGTCTGCTGTTTTTTCCTCACATGACTCACTGATCTAGTCCAGGATCCTTTTGCTGCTCTTCTACAATCATTTTCACAGCTGATTTCATCGTTCATGAAAAGGTTGTGTTTTACGACTACAGCCATAAACTTAAATTTCAATAGCATATGAATATTCGGAAAGGGCTATTTATAAAACCTTTGTAATCATCACCTCCTAAATGACTTGATAACAGTGCTTGTTCCACTTGTGCAGTTTGCCAACAGCCTTGGAGATGCATTCATAGCAAATATATATATAAGTTTGGATAGTGTGACTAACAGGTGTTTGTGGTATTTTGTGTCATGTTCATTAACAAAATTGGACGAGAGAACTTCAGTGTTTTAAAATTAATTGGCTAAAGGTATATTCAGAAACTTATTTGGTCCTTGTTATACCATATGCTGTTCATAGGAATCATGTAGAAAAAAAAACATTTGAAAATAGAAGCATAGTTATTCACTTAAAATAAAATTGTCGTATTATGCAAAATAACTTTTTATATAGGTATTAAGTCAGTATGTCTGAATAGAGCTTAAGGCTTTTCACTCTATTGAAGTAAAATGTAGATTATATGGGTCTTTACTGTCCATTTGCATTATTATCTTCTCTCGTTTCAGCATGCATACACAACTACAGCCATAAATGGGACAAATTTTTGTACATCAGCTAAGGATGCTGTCTTTATTTTGGCGAAGAATTCTGCTAAACTTACATCCATTAGCTGTTTTGGAGGTTTTATCCTATTTCTAGGAAAAGTAAGAATGAGAAAAATACCATTCTGTAATAATGAAGTGAAAAATAAAGGTCTGATTCTCTTTTCTTATACCCAAAGTAAATAAGGCTTACCTTTCTTGAACTCAGTTTTGTTCGTGCTGTAAAATGAGTTTGGGACAGAATGTAACGTCTGAGGTACTTAATCCTTTTCAGAGTCTTTACTCAGTTATTCAGCTGTGTTACAGTAGTGTCCTTGGCCCCGCTCCTACAGCTCCCCTTGCACTGAGTCTTTGGTAAACACATGGTAAAATATTGTCTCTGCCCTACAAAATTTACACACTTAATTAAACACAGAGCATTACAACTATATGACACCAGGAGTGCCAAATGCAAGATGTGTTGTCAAAATATTAGCTGTAATGTATTTGCCTTAGGTTTTTTGTTTGTTTGTTTTTTAAGAAACGTTATCACACGATTAATGAGGCTGCATTTCTTTCCCCTCACCCTTTACAGGTGTTTGTTGTATGTTTTACTGTTTTTGGGGGATTGATGGCATTTAACTACCATCGTGAGTTGCAAATTTGGGTAGTTCCTCTGTTGCTGGTCGGATTTTTTGCCTACGTGGTATCCCACAGCTTTCTGTCTGTGTTTGAAGTGACAGCGGATGCCCTGTTCCTTTGCTTTGCTGTTGATATGGAAACAAATGATGGATCTGCAGAGAAGCCATACTTCATGGATCAGGAATTACTGGTAAACCTCTGTGATAACAAAGACATTTGAGCTGTTGCACACTTTTGGGGACTTTTTCTTTCCCAAAGACCCAGTAATTTGAACCCACGACCAGTGCCATTTCCAGTCCAACATCTTAGAACAGGATGGGCTCAGGGATACAAATTATATGTGAATGTATAAACTGAAGTCAGTGACTCCCTCTGGCCCTTGTGTGTTAGCTATGATCTGCTGCCTTCTTTTAGGCTGTACCCTGTAAGTGATGGCTGACTTTATAGCTTGTTAAATATATCGCTTATACTTAAAAAAAAAATAAATAGCTGAGCTAGCTGCAGAGTCTTATCCACGATGTGTCCTAAAATTAGATGTTTATATCTGTTGTGACTTACTGTACAGCAAGGAGTAAGAATAAGGAGCAAGGAGCTCTTGTTGCCAGCAGCAGGTCAGCTATCCGTACATGTCCTGTGGATGCCGTAGTTTTGAACAAACTTCATGCAAACTTGAGTTGCTCTGCTTTATACGTGTACAGATTCTTTTGCCAATTTAGTGTCTTTGTACTGATTCTTTCTCTTTACCTTGATAATTACTGTATTGTATTAAAGCATTTCCATGGAGAGTTATTGCAGAGTTAGTAGTGATGAAGAGCACTTTAGCTACAGCTGTACCTGACGAAGGGAATGGTTGAAGATGCAGATGTTCTTTCCTTTCATGCTATTTTTCGCTAGTTCTGTCTTTTCCTTCATAAACCATGTGACAAAGAAAGTGCTAGTGACTCATGAAAAACAAACTCAGGAGCCAGAATAGCTCATATAATGTGAATCTTCTGGATGGGTTTTGTCAGGGACACTGTCATAATAACTGGTTTTGTTTTTTGGTTGTTTTTTTTTTTTTAAATGCTGCTGTTACCTTCCCTGAAATGGTCTTAGAATTATGTGTAAAACAAAAAACAACGAAAAAGCAGCCAAAAGATGGGCTTAACCCTTTATACAGAAGAGAGCAGAGAGATATTCTTTGGCCTTGATTCAGAACAGTACTTAAGTGCATGTCCTAAATAGCAATATGTTACTGAATGGAAAACTCTGAAGCCTTGACCTCTGTTCCTCTTCCCGTTTGGCCAAATGCTAGAATACTTCTCAAGCCAATTCTCCTTCAGGAAACAATCGGAAGCTTTTCTTTCTGCGTGTCCAGATTTTGTCATTGCTTCTCTTCAGCTCTGATCTTAATTTCTTGTAGTTAGCCATGCCGCAGGGGCTCGGGTGAAGAGAGGACTTCCCATAGCACAGGGGAGAGGAGTCTTCCCAGCAGGGCAGGCAGCATAGCCTTTTGTGGAAAAACGGGGGGGGGCAGCACATGCAAACCCCTCCTCTTTGCATGATTGAGGTACATCTACTCAGGTAGCCCAGAACTTAGAGTTTCCCAACACGGGAAGGTGTCTGATGTGGGAAGTCTGTGTGACAGTCAGGTGACAGACATCTGAGAGTGGAAGGGGGAGGCTCTGGGGCCCTCGGGATGTGGGCGGCTGTGGGTGGAGAGCCAGGTGAGTGACTGCAGACAGACAAAGATTGCCTGATGCAGTAGCAGACATAACACAGATTCTTGATTCAGCCTTCTCAGTTGCTTTCATCACCCTTACAGTCTCTGCAGAATCCCTTGTGGTATCAGTGTCATCCAGCTGGGGAACAGTTAACTTATGTTTTGTAGCCTCAGGCTAATTATCTTCCTTTACCAGATATTTTTATTTCTATAATGGTTTGCGGTCCCTTATGATCTCACCCTGATTTTTGCTTGCAGACCTTTGTGAATCAGAGTAACAAGTTAACAGAAGGGCAAAAACACAGAAGCATGAAACCCTTCCAGGACAATGAAGATGGGACAGAGCTCCAACCTATGGTGAGACAGGAGTATAGGCTGTGTAATTTTTCTGTCAGCTCATGTGTTACTTTGTGTCCTAAGGAGAAAGGATGTAGGTGTTGTGTGTCCTCTGATGTCTCACAGCAACCGACATGCCTGAACCCAGACTCCTGCTTTTCTTTCTATTGCTTTCCCTCCTCAGGAAATCCCTCTGCTGTGCAAAATGGGTAGGTCAAACACTTGTACTCGTCCTTCTTCCCATTCTCCATTGTGCCCAGCAGAGGAAGAAAAAGATCGGACAATGGCAAAGGGGTGGGAGAGCAAACCCTGCCTAGACAGCCCTTCACTGGCATGAAGGTGCTTTGGTGTATCTGCTATGGGGAAGTCAGAACAGTTGTAGGCCGCTTGGTTTCATGCTGGAACTGCTGTAAAATCAGCACTTAGGAGTCTTCCTCCTTTTTACAATTTTTTAACTTTTATTTCTTT